TCAACCCGCACCACCGACCCCTCCTCCAGGGATCGAACCTGCGACCTTCAAGTTCCGTGGCTAGCAAGTTACCATTGAGCTACCTGTTCGCATCGCAAGGATCCATCACCCAATGTCATTATTGAATATTTCCCCACCCCAGAGCCACCAGGTTTGCCTCACTGGCCACAACTCATATGGAACTTCAGGAACCACTTCTCCTGGCTAGTCGCCAATGAACACTAGTTCAATCGGATTTGGGTCTTTGTGTAGGTTTGGTGATTTTCCAAGTTGTTACTCATCATGAACTACCATCAGTGATAGTGCTGACTGGTGACTAACTTCGAGAGGTGATTCCTGAAATTTCAATGAGAAGTATTCACCGATGGAGCAAACCAGGTAGCCATGAGGACAAATACTCAACAATGACATGGGTGATGGTCGCGCTATGTCTTGAACTGACAGAAGTTGGAAATATGGATCATTGGATTGTGATCCAGTGGCTTAGTGGTAACGTGCTGGCCACAGAACTTGAAGATCATGGGTGCGCACTGCTAAAGAGTCCATACTAGTTGGATGAAGCAGCTGTCCAGTGTTCCCAGATTTCCAATGTTCCTTCAAATGATGTCAGTCCATGATAAAATTCCAACTTGAAAAGTCTCTAAATCCCCACAAACCCCTTGAATTCTATTTATTTTATAATGTTTATTTTCAAAGAGGATAAATGACTGTCAAAAACATTCGTCCCTTTTGGGATTCATCAATTAATAATATGGAAATAAAATGTAATAGAAGCAATGGTCAGAAAACACCTTCCTTCTAGTGTTACTGAAGGACTTACGTCTTTCATCTTTCAACAAGAAAACATAAAACAAATGTTCAATGTCCAATGTGCTCAATTTGGTTTGAATATGAGGAGATATAATTTTCATTTGTGAATACACAACATGAAGATAGGGTAGATTGTAAAAACGACAGTCGACCTGTTAGATACTGCTAAGAAATGAAACTAGAATGCCTAGTGTAGACCATGATTCGGTTTTTACGATCTCACAAATCGACTATTATGTTCATTGCTAAACTCGCCATCGCTTATCGTGGTACTATTACCCTGTGAGCTGTAGGCACATTCTGTGTACTTGCAGAGTCACAGGCTCACTTTTTTTTCTTTTTCTCTTCTCCCGTCCAGATTTTCGTGGTCACCACCAAACTCACACTGCTATATGAGCCTCCCAGCAACAACGTACCTACCTACAAGCTAGACAAATCGTATCACCGGCTGGTCGTTCCAAACCTACGACATAGAGCGAAAACGTCATCTGTAGAGTCGGCGAGATATCCAGCCATCTATCGAAGGACGAGTATAATGTGCTGCGGTCCGTTCTCTTCAGTTGTACGGATGTGAGTTATGACTGTTAAAAGTAGACGACATGAAAGGATTACAGGGTTTTGATCATAGATATCTTCGTAGCATTGCTCACTAGTGGTGAATCCACCGTGTAAACAAGGTTCGGTTTAGGCATAGAGTACTATACAAGATAGGCAAGTTGATTGCTGAGGTTATGAAGCTTACTCAACAGAGATGGCTTGGACATGTGTTGCGTGTCCGCCTTTTTCAGCGTGCCATGTTGGGGGGAGTTAGATTAGAATAAAATGGGGTTCAGGATGGCCAGACAAGGACCTGTGACAAATCAATGAATATTAGCTTGAGTTGTGTGAGGAGATGTAGACTGCCTGGTTAGATTCACCGACACGAAAATAATCAGTGTTGGGGACTCTTGAAGATGTGGCAGAAGATCGATCACAATGGCCTAGATATATTCACTCCCTGACATCTTGTAAAGCTTAAATATTCACACTAACCTTTATTTTCAGACTGTTTACTCTCTCAGGCAACTTTGTACACTCTGATATCACTCCTTTTCTATCCATCTGCTCTTTGTGTCCTACTGTGAATTGTGGCAACTTGAGTAGATGAACTTGTGTACAATGGTCTACGTTGTGTTTCTTTCTGTCTCTGTCTGTATGATGTTATAAACCTTGGTTAACGTATACGCACACCACCGGAATTTATAGAAAAATGTTTCGCTCAACACATTATACAATGTTAAATAAAGTCTTAAGTCTGTGAACGGAATTATATGCACCGACGTTTATCCAAAAAGGTATAATGACCTGACAATATTCCTTTGTATAACAATCTTAAACAGTTCAACATGTAACTTTCATTCTGAACGTTACTTACTGTACAATTCTGGATAAGTGAAAATTAAGTAAGTGTAAATGATACATGAAACGATCTGAGTTCATTACTCAGTTAAGGATTGTGAGCAATAGTAAGAAATTTTGAAGAAAAATGCTCTACATTTCACCCTCGTAATTTTAGAATTTATTAAGCTATGCGATACTTTTCGTCGACCTAGAAGTAATTTGGCAACTGCTTCTACACTAAGAAGTGCCACTAGTCTTTATCAACCTCATTTAACAGCTATATGAAGACGTCATATGCCAAGTGATCCACAATGGAAAGCTCAATCACGTCTTTGAAGTGAAGACAGGAGTAAGACAAGGCTACCGCCTACTATCACCCATGATCTTCCTGATTGTGGTCGACTTGACTGGATCATGCAGCAAACCATGAGAAGCTGTGAGAAGATGGGCATATGTTGGCTGGACCGATGAAAAGAGCCTAGAAGATTTGGATTTTTTTGCACCAGGCCCTTGAGTGGAATCCAAAAGGGAAACGACGAGTTGAGCGTCCAAAGGTGACATGGAGGAAATGATATGATGAAGAATTGAGAGCTTGTGGGAAGTCGTGGCTCCAGGTTTAAAAGACTTCAGAGAAAAGAGTGCGATGGAGGTGTGCTGCTGAAGCCCTATGTTTCACTAACAATCTAAGGGAAAAAAATAATAATGAACTTGGGTGGTGTAATCAGAAGACGAAGTTTATTCTGAATAATCAGATGTATTTGTGTAATACATTTCTTTATTCGCTAATGTGCTATTGTTCAAGACGAATAACATTCTTTATGACTAAATATCGTCTAGAAACCTCCAGTTTTACCCAAGGAACTATTATTACTGTATGCCGACAAAGTTGATTTCACATTTGAAGGTGTACCTGTGAGTAGTCTCTTAAGACCATTACTAGCTGATATTTATATGTCATATATCGAAAATCTGCGTAGTGATCTCATAGCTTAAGTTTCTCTTCACAACAGATATATCGACGACATTATAGTGATTTGTGGGAAATATGAGGATATGGTTTGTCTACTAAAATGACTTAGCACCGTACAAAATCATATCAATCTGAGTCTTGAGTCGACTAGAAGATGGTTGGATAAGACAGTCTAATATAAAGTTTTACAGTTTTTATCCCATCCAATACAAACGAGATCTAGTAAAATTCCTGTTTAATAGGATCTATCGTATCTTGTATACCAGATATGATGGATGAAGATATCGGATTACTGACCCAAAAACACTTATGGAAAAGGGATACCTGATGAAATTTATAAAACGTAGAAGTCAGGTAGCACCGAAGCCTAAGAAAAGCATCCATATCATTCTACCATACTGCCATTAATAAAACATATTACGCAGCTAATCTTATCATTGTAAAAAGGATAAAACACATGCTTCACCGCAAACCTAAAGACTACACAAATAATTACATCACATCCCATTGTGTTTACTAATTTACATGTATATGTGGTCATACAAATATAGGGAGGAGTAATCGAGTTATGCAGTTGAGAGTGGGTGAACATGTACCTAAATGGTTTCTAAAACAGATGAAGTGTGGAACCTCGAAGAGCGTAGGTGGGTGACGACCCTCTTTATCTATAGCTAAGCATATTATAGAAATGAGTCACAAAATCGATGTTCACGCAGCTTTCAAAGTTTTACAGAGAAACAGTCAGCGATAGACGCGTATAAAGACTTGTGGAAGCGATAGCTATACACATCTCATCAGTGCACACCTATATCACTATTCCAAGGATCTGTGACCAATAAGTTACCATTTAGCCCCTGAGTTGAGATCCACTGGTCCATATTTTCTTGCTTCTATCAATTTATAGTACAATATAAAGTAACCTGTCTTCATGACTGACTTGCCTTGTCAAACTGGTCATAACGTTTTATTAGAACTTTGGGAAATCTCATTTTAAATCAATTCAGAAATGATCATTTTTATAAGGGAAGAAATGAAATTTCAATCAACAACTTACTATCTTGTTCTTTGTTAAATTAGAAGAAAATGCCCATTACTTATAGATGTATTATATATAGTTTAACCATGAATCAGAAAAAAATTTTTATAAATATTTTATTTGAACAGTTTTTTAATTGTTTATGCATATTAAGTGTAGTGGCAAGTTTTTCCTATCAAACTTCTGATTTTCATGGTCAATGTCTCTACAGCTACATCTCTTTTGAACGCTGAAGTTAGGTACTGTATTAGTCACCGTATCATCTACAGAGATACTTTTCATCAGCTATATTCATTGTAACAGTCTTTACGAACTTCTTAGGATAACTATTCCCATACAAAGAATTCTCTAATATCCTTAGTTCATTATTCAAAGTGTCATTTAGCTAGACTATAAACGTGACAATGAGAAATTCAGCATGGATATCTTTCTCAGGGGATTTCATTTTTCATAACTACAAAATAAAACAATTTATAAACTTTTCTTTCTGCTATATTGGATAGTTACAAGAATTATTCTATTGAATCTGATGAGAATAATCAAGGTGGAAGAAGATCACACTTGTAAATGTTCAGTCTTCCTTCAACTTGATCTTTGCAACTAGATTTAATTAGATGGTACTTGAAACTATCCAGTTTATTGAAACGAAAATTTTATATATTGCTATTGTAGAGTTATGAAATCACTCCAGTAATAGATATCTTTCCTAAACTTCATATATTATGTATACTTTCAGTGATTTCAAGAATACTAAATTAATGATTCGAAATTAAGTGTTATATCGAAGTCATTGGTGGCTACTACTTTTAATCATTCTTTCAGTAGCATATATGCAGTTATTCTTGTTTCATATGAAGGAAGGAAAGGTGCCTCCCGATCGATTGGAAGAACAGCTACCTTGTCAAACTCCCAAACAAGGGAGACCTAAGTCTTTCCAAGGAGAAGAAATGGTGCGGAATTATGCTACTGTCCACACCAAGCAAAATATTATTCCGCCTTATCCTGGAGAGACTAAATGATGCGCTGGATTCAAAACTACGATCGGAACAGGTTGACTGTCTGGTTTCAGGGAGTACGAATCATGTGCGGACCAAATCGCAACGCTACGCTACGCATTATCATAGAACAGAGTATAGAATGGCTGTCAACTCAACTTTATCGACTTTGAAAAGCCTTCGACAGCATCGACCGACGAGTCTTTTGGCAACTGCTTCAACGCTAGGGAATATCGCAAACCTTTATCAACCTCATTCAGCAACTATGTGAAGACACCACATATCAAGTAATTCACAATGGGAAGCTCAGTGATGTCGTTGAAATGAGGTGAAGACAGGAGTAAGACAAGACTACCGCTTACTATCACCATGATATTCCTCATTGTAGTCGACTCGACTGGATCATACAAACAACCAGTGAGAAGCGAGAAGAGGGGTTTACACTGGATCGTGGAAAAGATCCTAGAAGATTTGGATTTCACCAATGATGACTTGTGTCTAATATCTTGTCTCGAAGATCTACAGGCGAAAACCAACAAGTTGACAGAAGAGGCATGGCAGGGCTGGGCAGGGCAGGGTAGGGCAGGGCGGTGAAGATGGGACTTTCTTCAAGTGAACATGGAGTAGACAGAGGTGATGATGATACCCAACCAACTCCACCACCACCACCACCACCAACAACAACAACAACAAGCTCCAATCACCATCAACGAGAGAAACTTAAAGGAAGTAGCCTCTCCCACTTACACACCTATCTAGGCAGCATCATTTCAACTACAGTCCGCACAGGCACAGACGAGGATGGGGATGTCAAAGCCAATCAGGATAGGAAAGACAGCAAGACAGGTGTTCCTTAACCTGAAACCAGTGTGGAGATCTTCTGCACTCAGGACTGAGTGTGAACAACCTGCGGATTTTTAACATCAATGTCAAGTGAGTGCTTGTGCGTGATGGTTGAGAGACTTCACGCCTTACAAAAACATTTCCAGCAAACTGCAGAGAAGGGAGTGGAATGGAGACGTGCAAGTGAATCCCTAGGTTTGACTAGGAACCCAAGAGACAAATAATAATACCTGTACAATATTTTCTGTTGATTAAATGTTCTTTACGAGTGACGTTTCAGTATTGTAACTAATGAAATTTTCATCGCCAGATGAAGTGAACATTTCACTATGTTGTAGTTTACTTGTTGGTGGTTACCAGTAGAATTTACTAGACCCATTTCGTTCTGTTTTCTACTCATCAACTGGATGTGCCAGCACTCCAGTGAAGGATTGTCTCCCTCTACACTTAGTGCTTGAAATGCTAAAGGATAATCAACCCGGTGACTGAGATGCAAGGGTTACCTCTTGTGTAATAGATGTTAGTACTTTTTAATTGTAGATATGTGTGATTTCCAGCTGTCTTACTGAATCGAATTACAACAAAATGTATAGATAGACAGTATCAAGACGTCTGCATAGATGACCATATGCCAGCACAGGCTAATCACTTCGATTCAATATTACAATAGGCAATTACAAGTAACAATAGAAGTTTTACTGTTCAGTTAGTCGGTAACCATCGAATCAGATATCCTCTATACTAGTTTTAATGATCCTCAAGAATCAATAAACTTGTAGTTTCAGTCGTTAAAACAATAACCTCCGTTTGACAAGTACATCTAGACAGCGTAATGAGAAGACGAAGATTATCTGAAACATGTGATGTATTAGCGCTATACATTTCGAACAATCTGATCCCCACACATGGACTTGTCGAACTATTTATATGAAAATTTACGAAAAGGTCAATGAAGTTAATGGGAAACATAGGAATAGAAAGGGATAGAAAAGAAAAAGGAAAACCTTATTCTTGGTATGAAAATTAAAATCAATACTACCAAGATAGGTTCAAGGTGAGTACAAATTGTTTTTGTATACATAAAGGGGGTTTAAATTTACGAATGGCAAGAGCTTCAATAAATTTAAGCACTCGGCTCTGACCACTTTTATGTAGTACTTTAAAGGCTGTTTTCATGTCTATCCTATGGTTAGTTTCTAGTATATGTTTAGCGATAGACGAAGATAGATGTTTGTCACCTGCATTTATTCAATCTGTTGAGGTCATTTCTTTCTGAAGCCACTTAGGTATATGTTCAACCTTCCTTAACTGCATATCACTATTACTCCTCCCTACATATGTGTATTCACATATTCATGTAAATTGACAAACACAGTGGGATGTGATGTAATCGTTTATATGTTGTTTTGGTTTGTGCTGTAACATGGACTTGGTCTTCTCTACAATGATGACCTTAGCTGCATAATACGTTTTACAGATGGCCGATCTAAGTCTTTTCCTCACAACAAAGCTATGTGAATCACCTCTAAATGGTAATGAGATGTAGACATTTTTCTTAGCAATGGAACACTGTATACTTTTCAATGGTAAATAACTTTTGCACCTGTAGATAAGTCTCAACGGGTATCCATTCTGTATCAGAGTTGTCGTCAGTAAGTTGGCTTCTTCCTCCCTGGTGTCATCGGTGCAGATACGGTTTATCCTGTTGAATAAGCATCTGACTAAACCACGTTTATATTGGACTGGACAATAGCCATGGAAATTAAGATATTGCCCTGTCCATGTAGGTTTCTTATAGATCGACCTCCTGATCGAGCCATCCTCCGGTCGACTGAGCAATAGTTTAGGAACGGTAGCTGGTTGTTCGTCTCTTGTTCATAAGTCAGGCTAATGTGATTCTGAGCCGTGTTCATTTTCTGTAGCAGGCACATTGCAGCATCAGGCTTTTCACATATAATGACTATATCATCAACATATCTCTTATAAAGTGAAACCCTTCCGATGAGATCGTCAGTCATGTTTTCAATATATGACATGTATACATCAGCTAGCAACGGTCCTAATGGACTGCCCATCGAGACACCATCAATCTGTTGAAAGTGTTCAGATAATCTTCATCTTCTCATTACGCTGTTTAAATTTATCAAAGGGACCAGTTGCTTTAAATTTTTAAAAAGAAGTACATCTAGTCCAATAAGGCTTGTAGTAGCCTCTTAAAATACGAATAAGGGTTAAAAAAAAAATCGAATACAATTATATAATTGCGATTTTTACTTCACAATTTGAATAGTCAGCATAATTTAGAAACCTTTACATGGTTTCCCATAATGCATCAGTTATATTTCAAGTGCTGTAATCCATTCTTCTCTCGTTTACCTCATAATCCTTTATAAATACTGTCTAGTTTAAACTATATTCTTATGTTATACAAAAGTTTTGTCCAGATCCTTCAAAGAAGCCTAAATCTCTGAAACATTTCATAACCAATCATTATGCTTTGAAGTTTTGATAAAGGCACCTAATCATACATGTAAATATGAGGTCAGTTAAAGAAGTAGGACTCATAAAGAAAATCCCTTTTAAAAACTCTTGGAGTAATCGATACCCCTGTAACCCTATATATGTATAATTGATTGTATTTTGTATGCAATTCAATATTGTAATACACCTTCTTATTCACTTTTCTTTTTGTGAAAAATTGAGAGACCATTAGGGTCACATCTGAAGGTTATTGCTCAAGTATCCAAAAGTGTTTGTACAACCGGATTATATTAATATCGATCTCTGGGTTTGATAAAAACAGTAATATTCACTTATAACTTTGTATGGTAGCCGCATTAGATCAAACCACCTTTTCATTATTATTGTTATATTTGTCCTTTGGGTTCCTGGTGGAATATAGAGCTTCAGCAGAATGTCACCATTCCACTCTGTTTTCTCTACTCTCTTCATCCTGGCTCCACAACTGCCTATAACGTTCCAATTCTCCCTCACACAATCTCTTCCGTGTCACCGTCACCTCCGATGTCCAACTCCTTCTTTCCCGTTTGAATTCCACTCGACAGCCTGATCTGGTCTGACCTGGCGTGTGATGTCCCCAAAACCATCTTCCCACTCGATGTCCAACCCAATCCATCTACACTCTCTTCTTATACATGTCTATTTGATGATAGGTTCTTGCTTCGTTGGTTCGTTGTTAGGACACAGTTCATCATTGCTTATTCTTATTATTCTCAACATCCATCTCATCTCCATCTTCAGTATTGAGTGAGTGTAGGTGGCAGCTGTTTATGTATGTCTACAGTTTCTTGGAAATGCATTTTGTAAGGCGTCAAGTCTGTCAACCATCACATACAAGCACTGACTTGACTGACATGAGTAGGGTTGAAAATCCGGATGTTGTTCATGCCTTATTCTGAGTGCAGTGCAGTGTAGTGTAGTGTAGTGTAGGTAGTGTAGTGTAGTAGATCTACACACTGATTTTAGATGAATGAAGGGGGACCTGTCTTGCTATCTTTCCGATGCTGTCTTTGACATGTTAATCTATGCGTGTGCCGATACCGATACTGCCTTCTAGATAGACAGATAGGTAGGTAGGTAGGTAGGTAGGTAGTAGGTAGGTAGGTAGGTAGGTAGGTAGGTAGGTAGGTAGGTAGGTAGGTAGGTAGGTGGGAGGGACAACTTCCTTCAGACTTCTCCCGTTGGTGGTGGTTGCTGCTTGTTGTTGGTTGGATATCTTCATTATGTGTGTCTTCTCTACGTTCACCTGAAGGAAACCTCGTCTTCCTTTGCTACCCTGCCTCGCCTCTCCTGCCAACTTGTTGGTTTCCACCTGTTACATCACTTTTTAGTAACTTTGTTTTTATACACTTTTCAATCGTTCAAAAGATTTGAGGTATTTTATTCAACATAACATACTTACCCTCTTTATCTGGTGTAATAAAATAACAATCTGATATAAACCCTGGACCATTCATAATTTTGTGATATGACAATTATCGAATATTCCCACGTGTACACGGGACAAAAGCAGTGGAATATTGTGTAAAATTAAGTAATTAAGACTGTTACATTGATTGATCACCAGAGGGCAACCAACTTCATGTTGTCTAGTCTTCAGTGTTGATTGAATTCTACCGATAACGTTGAGATGTAGCCAACATACTAGGCAGCTCAGCATGGCAATGCACTTTGATAGATGTTGGTTGGATGCCACTCGCCAGCAAGGCGTATCTACAACCCCAACAGCGAAAAAATTTCTCCTGAGGTTCTAACCATGTCATCGAGTGTTGTAGTCATCGACGTTACCACTGAGCTATTCGGGCTGAGAGTAACCTCTCAAATAGCTCATTGGTAGCGTCGATTATTACAACACTCGGTGACGTGAGTTCAAATCCAGGGCGAGACATCAGTTCCTTCAGGGTTACAGATACGCCTTGATGACAAGTGCTAGCAGGCTGGAAAC